GGCTGCCAAAAGAACCAATAGATCCGTGTTGGAAGAAGTGCAGCCACAGTGCTCCTTGGAGGCCAAGATGGCCAAACTTCATCTCTCATACTTCAGACATATTGTCAGGAGGGACTAGTCACTGGAGAAGGTGATCATATTTGGTAAGTTGGAGAGTGAGAGAAAAAGAGGAAGACCCCCAACGACATGGGATTGTCCAAGCAGCAGCATCAGTAGTGACGTTGGTCCAGGATCAGGCACTGTTTCATTCTGCTGTGCATAAGGTCACTATGAGTAGGTACCAACTCGATGGCACCTTAAGAACAACTAGAACTTTTTAGTATATATAGGTTTTGGTTGTCTGCTGAACCAGTTCAAACTTGCACCATTTTCTACAAGTTGTCAACAAATGTCTCACAGCACTGTAGGAACTTTTTGTTATTATTCTAGCCAATACAGACTGCATTTAAGTATGGTCTTTTCTTTGACCTTGTATGACTAACTTTTTCTATAGCAGTGATTCTGTAGACTGCTAAGGAGTAAACTCCACACCGACTTCTTACAACTCTGATCTCGGCCGCATTGCTTTAGATCTTTGAGCTTCACTTTCCTTATTTGTTAAATAAAGATAATAAAAGTATTTCAGGTGAATTAATAAGATAATGTATCTGACACACTCAGTTCTGAGTTTTACAGAGAGCAGTGTTAATGATGATTCTTTTAAAATTGTCTTCAGTTACCATGTTGGCTTACTACTGTTTGCTTCTCTTCCCTGTCTGAATCGTTCTTGGCTGGCACTTCCTGTTCCCAATTCAGAGCCTGTCTTTGTCTCTATTATTCTAGCTTACAAAATATACTTCTTTTTTTCTGTCAAGAGACCAAAGCAAGAAACTCTGCAGACATCTTGAATACTCTTTGCTTTACCACCTGTGTCTTACTTAATTAGCCACTAAGTACTAATGTTTTTGCTTTTTATGTGTTCTTCAAATCCATCAATTTTTCCTATTCTTACCCTGAGTCACTGGAGCTCTAGTAGCGTAGTGGTTACGAATCGGGCTGTGAAGTGCAAGGTCAGCAGTTTGAAGCTACCAGCTGTTCCGTGGGAGAAAGATGAGGCTTTCTGTTCCCATAAAGATTTACAGCCTTGGAAACCCTGTTACAGGGTCGCTATGAGTCAGAACTGACACCACGGCACTTAACAACAACAACAACACCGTGAATCACAGAGTACTGGTGTGGCGCCATAGCATAAAGTACTGGACTTCAAGGTCAGTTTGAATCACCGGGTGAGCACTCCTCGGAAACCCTACACAGAGTCGCTATGAGTTGGCACTTAATATCAACCTAGTATGTATATATAACAAGGAAAGAAAGATAAAGACTAGGTAAAAGAGCCTGATTTAAGGTTGTTGTTATTGTAAATGCCATCAGTTCCGACTCATAGAGACCTTGTATACATTTTCCAAGGAGTGGCTGGTGTGTTTGAACCTTCGACTTTGTTGGTTAACGGTCCAGTGCTTATCCTACAATGGCACTAGGTAATATTTTTTAGTTAGGTGGTAGTTTTTAAATGCATGTCTATCCATGTGCCTTTTTTCTCTTTTTCTGACAATTGTCTGTTTCATCATTATTATCTAGATCTTTGAAGCAGCTTTCTAACTTATCTCCCTGTCTCTGGCACTCTTTTTGTTATTCCAGGCAACCCTCCATAATATATCTTATACTCAATAATAAAAAAAAAATCAATGCCATTGCCATCGAATCAATTCTGACTCATAGCAACCCCATCTACATGATACTTCTAAACTACTGTATTCACAAAACAACAATGAGATATCATCTCACACCAGCAATAACAGCAAAGAT